TTCGCAGCCCGATTCGTAACCACTACGCTACCAGAGCTCCTTCCAATTGTATGGTAGGTCTGAGTAAAAGTATTGTTTAATGAATACATACTACATGCTAGATACTGCACTGGACTAACTGCAAGGTTGGCAGTTGAAACCCATTCAGAAACCCTATACAGGTTCTCTATGAGTCAGAATCGACTCAACAGCACATAACAACAACAGCAGCAATTTAATCTCTACAATTCCATGAGGTGTATTATATTATCCATGCTTTATGTTGTTGTTGTTAAGTGCTGTTGAGTCGGGTTCCGCCCCATAGCAACCAATATAGGGTTTTTGAGGAGCGGCTGGTGAGCTTGAACCATCAACCTTGTGGTTCAAACCAACTTGGCAGTCCAGCACATTAACCCACAGCGCCACACCAGGACTCCATGTTTTATAGGTGAAGGTAAATCTCAGAAGGTTGACATTTCTTTGTGGTCCTTGTAGTCTGTCTACATTCACTGGGAGTTCTGGTGTGGCCTTGTGGGTTAATGTGCTTGACTGCAAGGTCTGTAATTCAAGCTCACCAGCTGCTCCCTGGAAATCTTATACAGGGTCGCCATGAGTTGGAACCAACTAAACGGCATTTAACAGCAACAACATACATTTATTGATGGGTTTCCCTTTATGGTCCTGACTCAATGTTCTAATGAAATATTCATTGGACAGTTAGTTGTATAGTTAGAATTTTATTATATACAGGTAACATATAGATGGGTACATGGAAATAAGGCCACAGATAAGGAGCAGATCGTTAAGGAATTTGAACATTTTTTTCCCCTGTGGGTATGAAGAATTTACTGAGGTTTTTGAGCAGGGCAGGCCCATGATGGAACCTTTTAGTAAGGCTAGACTGGAAAGATAGGATACGCTAAAGGCATAGGCGTTATTGTTGTTGTTGGTAGGTGCCGTTGAGTTGATTCTGACTCATATAGTAACACTGTATAGGGTTTCTGAGGAGCGACTGTTGGGTTTGAAGTGCTGACCTTGTGGTTGGTAGGCCATTGCTTATCCTACAGTGCCACACCAGGACTCCAAGGCATATGTGGGTAGAAGGTAAATGTCATCATGTAGGAAACAATTGTCAAAAACCTCGGGCTGAAGTGATTAATAGCTAAGTCGAAGTGGTGACAGTGGCAGCAGAGTGAGAATAGAAGAGTCATTAGGAAGGCCCTGGTGACTAGAAAGTGAGGGCACCTCAGTGACTGGGTGAGCCACAGGGAGACCAGCACCACAGTCTTGAAAAGGAAAGGTAGTGAACTGAGCTTAAGCTTCTTGATTTGGGGGCGGGAGGTGAGTGGGCATTGACTCATTCCTGCCTGGGGCATATGATTGTATTTGATATCTTGTATTTGAATCAATTCTTTATTTTTGATTTGGATAGCAATATTGATCTCTGTATTTTAATCTCACATCAACCCAATACTTGTTCACAATGTGATATCGTTGTTAAGTGCCATTAAGTCAGTTCTGACTCATAGCAACCCTGTGTAGGGTTTCTGAGGATTGACTGGTGGGTTTGAACTGCTCACCTTGTGATTAGCAGTGCAGTGTTTATACTACAGTGCCCCACCATTTACTTACTATTGTTATTATTTACTACAGGTTATCAGACCAGGATGAAGAGGGAAAGATCAAGCAGGAATGCATCGTGTCTGACCCCTCTTTTTCCATGGTGACTGTTCAACGGGAAGATAGTGGCATAACCTGGGAGACCAATTCAAGTAGATCTTCCACTCCCTGGGCCTCAGAAGAAAGTCAGACATCTGGTGTTTGTAGTCTGGAAGGGTCAACTGTGAATTCTCCTCCAGGGAATGTTTCATTTATTGTGGATGAAGTTAAAAAGTCTCGGAAGAAACCACGTAAGACAAAACATGACTCGCCATCATTGCGTCGGAAAGGCAACAAAAAGAGACATTCTTTAGAATCCCAAGAAGATGTTCCAGCAAACCAAAAAGACACTCCTTTAATTTCAGAAAACCAACCACTCAAATCTGAGAAAGAGAAGTCATCTATTGGCATTTATGATAAAATGAGAAAAAAGAAAACGACTTCAAATACACCTCCTATTACTGGAGCAATATACAAAGAACACAAGCCGCTAGTGTTAAGGCCTGTCTACATAGGAACTGTTGAATATAAAATTAAGATGTTTAATTCGGTTAAAGAAGAATTAGTTCCTCTACAATTTTATGGAACACTGCCAAAGGGTTATGTAATTAAAGAAATACATTATAGGAAAGGGAAAGAAGCGTCTATTAGTCTAGAGCCAGATTTAGGCAATGTGGATTCTAATATAGCTTCCAAAACAAGTAAATCAGTGACTGAAAGCAAAAATGAGGATAAAGAAAAAGATCTTGCTCCACCCTGGAGAAATGTACTCTCCAAAGGATCAAAATCCTTAACCTCATTGATCAGTCATGAAGATCAAAAGAAAATTCATGTTGATTCGCCCCTCAATGTAGCATCTGCAGCCAAGCACACCGTGTCCTCTTATTCAAGTAATGACACAACAAACCAAGAAGAGAGAACTGGAGAAATCCAGTTCACTTCTTCTCAGTCAATGCCACAACAGCCAGGTGATGAAATAAAAACCCATGAAATAGAGTCTTCATCTCTTATGCCTGATACATCAACAGCTGTTTTATTGGAAACAGCAAAGGAAGATTTTGAGCCTGATTCACAAGGAACAACAATTTCTGAGAATGATACTTCTGTCTCACCATCTTTAATTGATGAAGGAATGAAAGAAGATGTATATTCTGCTGAGCATTCCATTTCAGTGGAGGCTGAGAAGGACTCTTTGGAGACAGTTTCACCAGGTCTGGCAACATCCATTCATGACAGTTTTGGTACAGAAAAAGAACAACTAGACTTGACTTCGTTAGAAAGGGCAGAACCAGTCTCTGAACAACTGATCCCTCCTCATGACGGTGTCAAAGAAAATATGGAAGAAAATATACCTGAGCCATCCAGTTATCTTCCTGAACTACCAGTGTTGGCAGAACCAGAGAAAGAGGAAATAGAAACTTCCTTACCAATGACTGCTACTTCTGAACCCGAAGATTCTGATTTTGTAGAAGAGACCATAGAACTCGACCACCCAGAAAGTCCTGAGAAATCCTTCCCAGCACATTTGGGCTCTGAAGTGGAGGAGGAAAATAAGGAACCTTTTCTACCATTAGTGACACCAGCAACACCTGAACAGGTAGTGTTCTCTGAGGAAGAAAGAGAGGAAACTGGATCTATTTCTACTGACTCTACACCAGTGTTGGCAGAACCAGAGAAAGAAGATATAGAAACTCCCCTACCAATGACTACTACTCCTGAACCCAAAGATTCTAATTTTGTAGAAGAAGAGACCATAAGACTTGACCACCCAGAAAGTCCATTAGTTTCTGAGAAGTCCTTCCCAGCACATTTGGGCTCTGAAGTGAAGGAGGAAAACAAGGAACCTTTTCTACCATTATCTGAAGTGGAGGAGGAAAATGAGGAACCCTTTCTACCATTAGTGACACCAGCAATACCTGAACAGGTAGTGTTCTCTGAGGAAGAAAGAGAGGAAACTGGATCTATTTCTACTGACTCTGCCTTTGCATCAGAGTATTCAGTTCCACAGGATTTAAACCATGAACTAGAAAAGAAAGAAATTGAGCCACTTTCTCCATCCATTGTAAAAGGTATATCTGAACATACAGTTTTCTCAGAGGAAGAAAATGAGGACTTCGAGCCTTCTTCCCCAGCTGAGGTCTCTGTGTCTGAGCACTCTCTCATATCACCCACAACTGAGGAGACTTCCGAATGTCAGTCCCCACTGTCTTCAATCGCTATATCTGAACAGATGGTCCTGTCAGGAGAAGAAGCCTCAGAAAGTGAATGTTATATGCCTGATTCCATATCTTCTCCTGACTATTCAATTCCACCACATGCACTGAAAGAGTCACAGAAGAAAACAACTGACCATAACGTCCCATTAGAATCAGAAGGTTTTTCTGAGCACATGATTCTGTCAGAAGAAGAGAAGGAAGACATTGGATCATATTTCCCAGATGTATCCTCTGTACCTGAACACTCTCTTCCAAATTCCCCAAGTCAGACTCCTGAAGGCCAATCACCACCACTTTCAACTGCTACATCCGAACAGGCGGTCCTGCCAGAAATAGAAGACACAGGAGGTAAGCATTTCACGTCAGATCCAACAATGACTTCCAAATATGCAGTTCCACCAAATGAAACACAGGAAGTTCAAAAGAAATTAATGGATGATATAGCCCAACTCAAGTCAAAAAGTGTTTCTGAACAGGTGATTCTGACAGAAGAAGAGAATAAAGACTTTGTACCATATTTCCCAGATGTAGCTCCTCTATCTGAAAATTCTCTCCCACCACATACAATGGAAACAATGTCTGAAGGCCAGTCTCCACCATTTTCACCTACTCCATCTGAACATGTGGTCCTATCAGAAGAGGAGACAGTAGAAATGGAGCAGTACACACCCTCTTCCATCTCCGCTTCTGAATTTTCAGTATTGCCACATGCAACACAGGAGTCACAAAAGGAAGAAATGGTACACAGATCCCCTTTAAATCTAAAAGGCACCTCCTCACCTGTGAACTTACCAGAAGAAGAGCAAGAAGACATTGGACTGTTTTCTCCAGATTCTGCGTTTGCATCAGAATTCTCATTTCCACCTTATTCAACTCAGGAAGCTGAGAAAAGAGAATTTGAGCGTGATTCTCCAATATATTTAACATCACCATCAGATCATACCATTTTGTCAGATGAAGACACTGAAGAAGCTGAACTTTTTTCTCCAGACTCAGCATTACAATTTTCAATCCCACCATACAGAGTCCAAGAGACAAAGGAAAGTGAAGTTGAGCTGGACTTGCTGTTAACTACAATGTCTGCCTCAGGATCTTCTTGTTTTCCAGAAACAGATGAGGAGGAAGTTGGATCAACAGCTTCCACACCTGTACCTGAGCATCTCATTTTGTCACAGAATCAAAAAGATGCACCTTCTCCTCTGATGTCTACATTTGAAGATTTGAATAAACCAGAGGAGCCAGAAATTAAGCTAGATGCTCAAACAGCCTCAAAATCTGTATCTGAATATCTGATTTTGGCACAGAGTCAGAAACTTCAAACAGCTTTTGTGCCTGAGTCTGAAGACTTGGCTCCACCATATAGAACCAATGAGTCAATGGAGGGCGAGGTTAAAATAAGTTCATCAGTAACTACACCACCTGTTTCATTACCTGCAAAATCATCCATGGTAAAGGAAGAAGATGAACCTATTTTGCCTGAATCTCAGTACTCAATATCACCAGATTCAGTCCATGCAATTAAGAAAGAACAGGAGCCCAAAGCATCATCCTCTCCAAAAACTGTAAATGAACAGATGGCTTTGCCAAAAGTGAGGAAGGAAGAAACTGTGCCTGGTTCTCAAGCAATCACAGCACATGTATCACGGGATCAAAAAATGGAGCCTCAGCCTTCAACTGTTCCAGAGTCTGGAATGAAATATTCAGTTGTGCCTGACATGGTAGATGAGCCAAAGAAGGACGTCAAGCCCAATTTAGCTCCAAATGTGACATCTGAACTGGAGCAGAGAGTGTTGTCAAACAATGAGCCTGAAGTAATAAAACCAGAGTCACCTTTGAAGGAAGCATCTTTATCTGGACCTGAGGTTTCATCAGCAGTGAAAACAGAAGTTAAACATGATTTGAAAATAAGAGTTACACCTAGAGTTCCACAGTCATCAGGAGAGGAAAAGGAAGTTGAATATAGTCCACCTGCACTATCGTTTTCAGTTTGCTCCGAAGAAATAAAGAGGGAAGTTGAATCCAGTTCTTTTACAACCACATCTGTAATTAAGCATGAGTCAAGTTTAACCAAATTATCAAAAGGAGAAATCCCACCAGATTCACCACTTCCCACCCCTGTGGAACATCCGGTCTTAACAAAAGTAGTAGAGAGTGAGGTAGGAATTGGCATGCCACCACTTGTAGCCTCTATAGACAAACATTCAATTCCTAAAGAAGATGAAAAAGTAGCAGTTATAGGTGCTTCTTCTCCCATTGGAACTACTGCATCCAAATGTTGGTCAGAAACAGAGAAGCAAATCAAACCTGATTCACCTTCAAGTGCATCCTCTATTTCAGAGCACTCTATTTTATCCAGGGTAGAAACAGAAGAAATTAAACCAGGGTTGACAATTACCCAAACATCTTCATCGGTGCAGTCAGATGTATCTAAGGAAGCGAGAGTAGAAAAGGAACAAGACCTTTCATTTTCTGCAGTCCTCAACTCTGAAGGTTTTATTTCATCACACACAAACTCTGTGTCTTCCTCAGAGGTGCCAGGACCTGAACTTTTGCTTTCACCCAAACTAGAGGGTGAAATGAGAACAGAAACAGAGTTCCCTTCATTACAAAACATGTCACCTGCACCCAAACAGACAGTTCCAAAAGTCAAAAATGAGGAACTATGTTCTTCTCCCAAGCTGGAAATTTTAGTGCCAGAAGACTTAGTACCAACATCTACTACAAAACCTGAAATTTCACAGGTTTCATCGTGCTTTAGAGAGGAACCTCAGGACCAAGAAATTGAACCTTTCTCTCCTAAGGGAATTAGCTTAGGGTTAAAAGAAACATATACTCCTCTGGTTGAAGGAGAAAATTTAGAAGAAGTTCAGCCGTATACCATTTCTTCAAAAGGATTATCAGAGGAGTCGAACCATTCAATCAACTTTAAAAAAGAAGAAAAACAAGAAATAGGCCTATTACCAACAACAGAAAATGTGAAGTTTCAAGTGACTGGAAACATTTTAGACGAATTAAATAAAGAAACCAGCCAACCAGATTCATCTCATGTATCCCAGAATATAATAGAACCATCAAAGATCCCCTCTTCTGATCTTTTGGAACAAAAGAAGCCTGAAAAAATGCTTTATCCAGATAAATCCATCAATTTACCTGATGTAAGCAGCTCTTTTGCAAATAAACAGGATCTGGGTAGTAAACAACTTTCCTATGTGAAAGAAAAATTGCCTTTGGAAGAATCAAAGTCATTTGTGGCAACTGAGTTGACAGATGTTAAAGAAACAAAAATGAAAGGGCCTCTTATTTCTCCAAATGATGAAAATTGGATGCTGGAAAAGCCAGAAAGAGATTTGGCTAGTCATCATGAAGAAAGAATCCCGGGATCTGTGCAGCTGGGTTCCTCTGGCAGCAGTGATCTGATGACAGGGCAGCTTAAGGTTACTCTCTCAGATAAAGAACATACATACGAAATCAGAAAGCAGGTTCTGCCACAAGAACCAGCATCTACTCTAGAGAGTTCCAGTGGTAATGCAGAGACACTACCAGCTAAACCTTACTCTTTTGAAGAAATAAAACTGACCCAAGAACCAAAATCTGTAATTCCAGCTGGAAATGTAGACAAAAACATAGCAGAGGGAAAGCAGATCCAGTCTCTTGTGGAGAGTGAAAGTTTGTTATTGGACAAAGCAAGCCCAGAATTTTCTAGGCCAGACAAAGAAGACAGCCCAGAAGAAATCAAATTACCTTCGGAAGAAATCCTCCAGAAACCACTTTCAGGCCCGTCAGTGCAACCAATCAAGTCAGAAATTATTCCCTCTTCCACCAAAGCAGCCCATGTCCTAGCAGCAGAAACAAAGTCTCCCCCAAGTAACAAGAACGAAACACAAAGGACCACACCTCTTTTACCTGGAGAGAAGCCATTAGAAAAATCAGAAATGGTAAAATCACAGGTTGTAGATAATGCTACCCCTGAAGTGAAAATGCCCACACAAAGCAAACCCCTCTCCTCAGTCCAAGCTGATGGGGCACCTCAGCCCCAAGAGTCACCTGAGGTAACACAAAGGCTGCCTGAAGAGCCTAAGGCAGTTGAGCCGGTCCTTTCTGAAGAAAAGGGAAAAAAAGGAATTTTCTCTTTGAAATCATGGATGTCCAATTTGTTTTTTGGATCAAGCACTTCAGATAACCAAGTTACCAAAAAAGAAGATTTAGAAGCACAGCCAAGTCAATCTTCAGAAAAAGCAGGACCTGTGATAGAGCCTAAAGGTTCTATTCTAGACACCCCTGCCGATTTGAATACAACTGAGACACTTGCTAGTCATCCATTACCAGAGGCAAAACTTCAAGTTGCTGAAGAGTCTAGAGTTTCTGTAGTGAAACTTAGTGACGGAAAAGACTTTAAAGAAAAGCCCAAATTTTTATCAAATGTAGAAGACGTACAACAGCTAAATTCCAACACTGAGGCATCTGGTAAGGATTATGAAAAGAAAGACACCCTAGAATATTCCGAAGAAATGGACATAAACGCAGTACTTACTTCTGCTGATGGCAAGGAACATCTTGGAATGCAGCCCTTCATGGGTGAGAAATCAGTTCTAAGAGAAGCCAAACATGTAGTTCCTGTTCACATCGCTGATAGTAAAAGAACCCAGAAGCCAGCAATTGCTCCTCCTTCTACATGGAATATTTCTATTATTAAGGAAAAGCCAAGAAGTGATCAAAAAGAAAAATCACTCTTTTCATCTGATGCAGTAGACCAGGTGCCACAACAGCCAAGTTCTGTTTCATCCAGCTTCACAAGTAAAAATATCATGAAGGAATCAGAGACACCAATGCCAATGATTTTGCCAGTGGACGAATCAAAAGGAAGTTTAATTGACCTTGGTGAAGACAGACAAAAGAAAGAAATGTCGAAACCTACTTCCTTGAACATTTCTGAAGAAGAAGTAAAATTCAGGTCTGTTAGCCCAACTGAAGACAAAGATAACTTGGAAACCAGATCATATTCCTTGGCAGAAAAGAAAGTTCTGGCAGAAAAACAAAAAACTCTGGCCCCATTAGAGCTTAAAGATAATAATGAAATACAAAAGGCACATGTTATACATGAATCTAGACCTATTAAATTAGATGACGCAGAAGCTGCTGCTATGCTGCAAGTCTGTCAAAGTGAAGACCACAAAGAAAGATCCAGAATTACTGTTGGTTCTGAGGAGAAGAAAGGAGAAGAAAGAGAAAGGTGGTCACATATAGTTTCTGAAGAAAAAACGCAGCAGGAAATTCAGCCTTCTTTTGTGAACGCAACCAGGTCTGTGCTTGATGAGCCAGATATCTCTTTAGGTCATTCTTTGGATGAAACACAATCGTTTCCATTTTCATCTAAAATTCATACATCTGATATGCCTAAAGAATCTGTATCTGTTTCGGAGCATCATTTGGAGACGGAGGAAGATATCCACGTCAATGAGCCATGCTCTTCAGAAAGCAGCAACTACACTCAATTTATAATGAATGCATCAACAAGTAATACTGATTCAACTGTTCTTACTAAAGAAATAGCCAAGGAGTCTGATGATGAATTGACAGTGACTAGTAAGCCAGTTGGACTTTCAGAAGATCAAAAGAGTGCCTTCAATATCATTTCCGAAGGTTGTGAGATATTGAATATTCATGCTCCTGCATTTATTTCTTCGGTTGATCAGGAGGAAAGTGAACAAATGCAAGATAAGTTAGAATATTTGGAAGAGAAAGCCTCACTTAAAACCACGCCATTTCACGATGACAGTGAGACGGTTGCTTGCCATGAAACATTAAAGAACAAGTTATTGAATGAAAATAAACCAACGGAAACTCTTACAACAAGAGAGGAAATAGTCATAGATTCAGGAAATAGTGACATAGCTTTTAATCAGCCCACAATTTCCAGTGAAGAGGATTATTTTGAAAAATACACTTTGATTGATTATAACATCTCTCCAGATCCAGAAAAACAGAAGTCTCCACTGAAATTACATTTTGAAGAGGAATTCTCAAAGGAAGTTTCAGATGAAACAATCTCTTTCCAAGAAAGTTTAGAGGAAAGTGCCCTAGAACATGAAAATGACTTGGTGAAATTGGATGAAAGTTTTTATGGACCAGAAAAGGACCATGGCAAATTATCTCACTCAGAGACCCCAAAATCTTTGGTTATCCAAAAATTTGACAGAGATGCTCCAAAGGGCATAAACAGAGATGCAAGTTCAAAGTCACCGGGGATGCCATTATTTGATGCAGAGGAAGGAGTTTTGTCACGAACTCAGATATTTCCTACCACTGACAAACTCATTAATCCAGAACACTTGGAGGAGGCACCTGCGCTTGCATTTTTATACAAGGATCTGTATGAAGAAGCAGTTGGAGAGGAAAAGAAAGAAGGGGAGATAGTTTCTGATGATGACAGTGTGAATTCTGAGGCATCATTTCCAAGTAGAAATTCTGACACTGATGATGGAACAGGAATATATTTTGAGAAGTACATACTCAAAGATGACATTCTTCATGACACATCTCTAACTCAAAAAGACCAAGGCCAAGGTCTGGAAGAAAAGCCAGTTGGTAAGGATGATTCATACCAGCTGGTAGTTGCAGAAGGGGAAATTTGGGGGAGGTTTGGAACAAATTTGGAGGAGAGAAGTATGGAAGAGGAACAGAGAACTGTTTGCAAGGAAGGAGAATCAGTCAGCCATGTGGAGATACTTGATAATGTAGAAGCTAAGAGGAAAGCCCCCATCACTGAAGAAGTCAGGGTGGTTACTCAGAAGATAAGCTATGCAGTTCCATTTGAAGATACCCACAATGTCCTGGAGAAAGTGGATGAAACTAGTGGTGAGGGTAACGAAGCAGGAAATGCAGCTCCAGAGCTCAATCTGAATGTCCCGGTACAAGTGTCCTTCCCAGAGGAAGATTTTGCATCTGGTGCAACTTGTGTTCAAGAAATAGTGCAAGAAGAACCTAAGCTGGTCTCACCTGAGCCACAGGAAGATAGGCGGCACAATATTCCTGTTCAAGATGACTATGAATTTGCTGAAACTCTGGATTATGAAGTGGTCACTCAAGACATTTTATCAGAAGAACCATGTCCCGACTCCACACTTAAAGAGGTGTTCTCTCCAGGAAAGCAATCCACTGAACATATCAATGAAAATGAATTTGTGAAGGAGGTGCAACAAAGTATGTCGGCTGAACAGAAAGAGTTAGGCAGAGAGAGGACAGAACAAGATCAATTATCATCCGAGTTAGCAACTGAGAAGGCGCAGAGGGAACCGAAAAAGTCCCAGATTGACTCGTATTGTTACACATGCAAAAGCCCAATTTCTGCTATAGACAAGATATTTGGCACCCACAAAGACCATGAAGTTTCAACCCTTGACACAGCTATAAGTGCTGTAAAGGTAAATATGCTTTAAAGTATTTAAATAATGAATAATATGTATAGGGTGTGGTGCTGTAGGATAATGCACTGGACCAGAAGGTCGGTTTGAACCACCAAGGTGGTGGTTCAAATTCACCAGTCGCTCCTTGGAAGGACTCATACAGGTTCTCTATGAGTCAGAACTGACTTGAGAGCACTTAACCACAACTACAACAACAATATGTATAGATTAAATTTGCTTTCACTTGTTCTCAATTTTTAAAAAGACTTGATCAGTTCCTCTATAGGCAGAGTAGTCTGCAACCAAAGTCAGAATATTTCCACAGGCATTTAGTTCATATCAGTTTGATAAACATTTTTGGGCATACATTATATGTAAAAAATTTTTCTAAGTTCCGGGGTAACAAACTGGATAAAACAGGCATAATTGTTTAGCATTTCTGAAGCTGAAAGAACTGAAAAAAAGAAAATTCAAGCCTCAAATTGCAATACTGAAGGATTCTATGGGCTAAACTTGGAACAGTGAGGGAAGAATCAAGAGTAGATACAAGGAAGGGGTGTGCCCTAAAAAGCTCTTGTGAGCAAATTTCTGCTCTTGTTATACTGGCTGGAGAAGTAGACCACAAGCCCACTTCCAAATACACTCTGACTTTGACACTTTTGCTGTCAGAGGTGCATGAGTATCATTATCATCCATTATACACGCTAGGAAAACAAGATTCATGGTTTGGTGAGTTCCACTGTTTGGAGGTAAAGCTGTTGCCTGCATCTATGTGAATTCTGTCTGTCCCCAACACTGCCTCATCTTCAAGCTCACCCTTCTAGGGACTCAGCCATAAATGTTCCAGTGACATAGAAAGACATCAGGACACCACACACTGTGCCTTGACAGTCATCTGAAGATAGTACTTCTGTTTTGTCCATTACTATGGCAACTACAAACAACTGGAAAAGCCAGCCTAAACATATGTCCCAGTATAAAGTTTTAGTCTCCTGACCAGCAGAGATGTCTTATATTAACTAATCAGACTAGGGATTGGAAGAGGCAGACAGTAGGTAGAGGGCTGGAAATATCTATGCCAAAGCTGCCCCTTAGGTGATAAAAGTTAAAAAAAAAAAAAAGAAGGAATATACAGAATCATTGTACCAAAAAGAACTGATGTACATTCAATCATTTCAGGAGGTAGTAGAATGTGATCAAGAACAGTAACACTGAAGGAAGAAATTCAAGCTGCACTGAAGTCATTAGCAAAAGCAAGATTTCTGGAATTGGCAGAATACTTATTGAGATATGTCAATAAATGGATGTAATGCTGTAGGCGCTCACATGAAATTTGGAAGCTAGCTCTTATCTGGACAACCAATTGGAAGAGATCCATATACGTGCCTATTCCAAAGAAAGGTGACCCAACAGAATGCTGAAAGTAATGAACAATATCATGATTATCACATACAAGTAAAACTATGCAGAAGTCAATTTTTCAAAAGTTACAGCTGTACATGGATAGGAAACTGTTAGAAATTCAAGTCAGATTGAGAAGAGGATGTGGGATGAGAGATATCATTGCTGATTTCAGATGGATTGTGGCTTAAAACAGAGAATACTAGAAAGATGCTTACCTGTGTTTTATTGACTATGCACTGACTGGTGTTGACTTGTGGGTTATAACAAATTATGGATATATTGTGAAGAAAGGAATTTCAGAATATTTAACTGTGCTCATGTGAACCTGTACGTAGACCAAGAAACAATCATTCAAACAGAACAAGCAGATACTGCATGGTTTAAAATCAGGAAAGGTGTGCACCCTTTCACCATAGTTACTCAATCTGTATTCTGAGACAGGATGCAGTCTACAGGATTAGGTTATATCTTTAGTCAATCTCTTCTGAGATGTAAAAGAGATTAAACAAGTAAGGAGACATTAGGGGGAGTCCTGGTGTGGAGCTGTGGGTTAATGAGCCAGACTGCCAAGCCGTTTTAACTGAAAGTCAGTGGTTCAAGCTTACCAGTTGCTCCTCAGAAATCCTATACAGGGTCACTTTGGGTCGGAACTGACTCAATGGCACTTAACAACAACAACGACCACCAAGAAAGAAGAGTTAGGAGAGGAGTGCAGAGGAGTGCATCTTTGGTCCCAGAGTTCCTGCACTGGGAACTTCCTAGACCTGGAGGAAGACTGATGCCAAGATATATGGAAGTCTCCAAGGGATGCCAAGCTCACAGATGTTGAAAGGAGACAAGGATTCCCCCCCACAACTCACAGAGAGAGAGCGCCTTCCCCTAGATCTAGTACTCTGAATTTGAATTTGTAGCTTCCTAAACAGTGAGTGGTGGTTATGTGCTGCGGAGTCGGTTCCCACTCATAGTGACCCTGTACAGGGTTTCCGAGGCTGTAAATCTTTACGGGAGCAGAAAACCTCATCTTTCTCCTGCGGAACAGCTAGTAGTTTCGAACTGCTGACCTTGAGGTTTACAGCAGGATCCATAATCACTACGCTACCAGAGCTCCTTATTTCTGTTATGTAGCACTAGATAACTAAGACAATTATTAACAATAATCTGCAATATGCAAGTGACATAAAATTGCTTGATGAATGTGAAGAGGACTTGAAGCACCTTATTGATGAAGATCAAAGACTACAGCTTTCAGAATGGATTATACCTCAACAGAAAGAAAACAGAAGTCTCCACAACTGGACTAATAAGCATCATCATGATAAATAGTGAAAAGATTGAAGTTGTCAGGGATTCCGTTTTACTTGGATCCACAGTAGCAGTTATAGAGTCAAATGATGGGAAAATCTGCTACAAAAGTCCTCTTTGAAGTGTTCAAAGTGAAGATGTCACCTTGAGAAGGAAGGTATGCCATGATACTTTCAATCTCCTCATATGCATGAGAAAGCTGAACACTGAATAAAGAAATCTGAAGAGCTGATGCATTTGAATTATGGCGCTGGTGAAGAATGTTGAATATACCATGGATTCCCAGAAGAATGAGCAAATCTGTCTTGGAAGCAGTACAGCCAGAATGTTCCTTAGGAATGAAGCTGGCGAAACTTTGTGTCACATACTTTAAATATACCAACGGGAGGGACCAGTCCCTGGAGAAGGACATCATGCTTGGTAAAGTGGTAAAGCAGAGAGTTAGGGAAAAAGAAGAAAATCCTCAACAAGATGGATTGACATGGTGACTGCAACAATGGGCTGAAACACAGAAACGACTGGTAGTGCTTTGTTAGGTTGTAAGTAGGATCATTATGAGTAAGAACCTACTCGACAGCACCTAACAAAAACATTGCCTTTGAGCGTTTTATGGGAATAAGCCTTTAACGTAATCAGAAATGCCGAATAATTTTAAATTAAAATGATCTACTTTTGAGTATAAAACAATTTATTTTCTATTATCTACAATGTCATCTTTTAAAAAATACTTATTAAGCCTGGACCAAAAAAAGGAGAGGAAGGAATAGATGGATGATATAGGATGTGTGGCTTATTTGCCTATATTGACAACTGCCGTCTTTGCCATGAGACCAGAAGAACTGCATAGTGCCCGGCCAACATTACTGAATATTTGTAGAAGAATCCTGATCAAAAAGGAGAAAATGCAGCAGATAATTTGAAATTCTCATGGACCCTAGATTTTCTGGAGACGTGAAGGCTGCATGAACCCCTGAAGCAATTACCCTGAAATGATTTTTAAACGCAAACCAAAAATATCTCCTGAAGTCTTCTTGGAACAAAACAGTCGTTTAGTTTAACCAATAAAGAATGCCTGCCTTGAGCATTGTGGTCGTTGAAGATCTGTCTCTATGGGATAAATTGATAATAGCAACTTGGAAGATTAGAAAGGGCAGAGAGTTTATGTTGATGAAGAGGAAAAAGAGGGTGAGAATTGTTGCAGAACTCTAAGGATGTCATCAATGTCACTGAACTGTACATGTAGACACTGTTGAATCGGTGGGTGCTTTGTTGTATATATATTAAACAACAACAAAATTAATATAAATAACATTTAAAGATACAGATTTATATTACATTAAGTAATTTTAGTACAAGGTTTTTCATAAGTTCTCCAGAGAGTTGTTGCTAGTTGCTAAGTGCTTTCAAGTCAGTTCTGATTCATAGTAACCCTGTATCGGGTTTCTGAGGAGCAGCTACTGGTGCAACCTTGTGGTTAGCAATCCAGTGCTTATCCTATAGCACTGCACTAAGACTTCATAGAGTAAGCCATCTTAATTTCCTGCTTTCTTCCTATGCCCTTTTTATTTATAAAATTTATTTTGGAAATTTTGTATTTTTTCTATGCTTTTTATTGTTGTTAGTTACCATCAAGTCAGCTCCGACCCATAGTGACTCTATGTACAACAACAGTATCTGGTATCTGGTCCTGCAACATACTCACGACCACCGCCAGGTTTGAGCTCATTGTTGCAGCCATTGTGTCAACTCATCAGACTGAGTGTCTTTCTCTTTTCTCCTGACTCTGTTTTAGCAAAATGTCCTTCTCTAGGGACTGAACCCTCTTAACTATGTGTATAGCATCCCAGTGTTCCTCATAACAAGTTAATTACAACAGATATTTGTATGTATGTGATTAGGAATATCTAAGTCTCCAGAGATACTATTAGAAATCAAGCAATTAGTACCTGAGACTCCCATCTAATGTTTAATAGTCTTTTAACTGACTTCCCTATACTTGCATTTCTCTAATCCATTCTCCATTGAGCAACTGGAAAGATAACAAAAGCTGAGCACTTAAACTGTGTCAGACCTACACTAAATTCTTTATGTACCTTATTATCAATTTGCAAATAATGAAAAAATTGGCTCAGAGAGTTTTTCCTTACCTTATGAATCCTTCTCAACTTGTCTAATATTGGGTCTATTTCTCTAGGGTGAGATTTTGTTGAAAGTTAGCCTGGTAGCTTTTTTGGGGGTAGACCCCATTTTGTAGTGATTCTTGGTCTCATTACCAACTCCTGAGCACTGTTGAAAGGAGGCTAATTTTGTTTTTTTGTATTTTAAAATTATGATTTGTTTATCTTTGTGAAGTTTAGAACTAAAAAAATAACAACACAACTTTATGTATAAATTAAAACAAATTTCAAAAGCAGGAGATATCATGCCTCCTGCTTGAAAACATTTTGAAACTGTTTTCTTATCTTCTCTAAACAGTAAGAGAAGGAGAAAGTGAAAACCAAAACCCACAACTCTTCTTCATTTTATTAAGTCAACTGCAAGCTGATACGTAACTTTTAAAAAATAAAAACCAGTTTTAAAAGTTTTAACTTGAGTATTCTTTAGCATTTTATGAGTAGACCATTTGAGATTATTCAAGAAATGATAATTTTATATATT